AAATTTGGAAAAAAAAAAAAAAAAACTTTTGCAAAATAAAAAAGTGAAAAGAAAAAATCAATTCGTAAAAATAAATATTACTTTTGTAAAACCAAAAAGAAAATTAAATATAAAAAAAATAAACTTTGCAAGATAAAAGTAAAAAGAAAATTTAAATTCACTTTTGTTGAAGTTAAAAATAAAATTTATGTTTGGGAAAGGGAAAAAAATGAAATAAAAATTAATAAATTAACTAATAACTTAAAAAAAGTAAGAATGAGATGAAAATTGAAAACAATTAAAATATCTTAATAATAAAAAAAATTAAACCGTGGGAAAATCTTACATTTAAAACAGCAATGAATAAAGTAATGATTAAGAAGCCAAAAGAAATCCTAGCCGTCGTGTAAAAAACAATGTATGACGCGGTTTTCATGTCAAAGCGCATGCGCAGACGTTTCAGCCTTATGTCATCAATGGTGCAAAAAGTCAAAGGGCCAAATAGAGTTTCCAATAACAAGTCTGATAAGAGGACCGGGTAGCCGAGCGGTAAAGCGCTAGACTCCCATCCCAGAGATGGCGAGTTCGAATCCCGGGGGTGGAGTTACTTTTAAAATTCAGGGAAAATAATATTAATTTCCACAAAAATTCATTAAAAGTAATTAATTAAATAATGTCGTACTAAATAATTAAGATACTTATTAAAAAGTGTAAATAAAAAAATTAATGACATACAAAATAGTATTAATATTAATCAAATATCAAACTAATATTAATCACGTGTCAAATAATTAAAAATAATAAATTAAAAGAGATGTCATTCCAAACACGTGGTTCAAGTGTTCGTTGCCACAAAACCTAAAAATATATATTCGATGCCACAAAAAATAAAAACTTTGAAAAATAGTGTCGTTGCCACAAAAATAAAATCTTTGAAAAGATCGTTGCCACACCATAAAAACGAAACTTTGATGATGTCATTCCAACGCGGGAAGGAATCCAAGATGGCGCTGGTATCGTCACTTTCGGTTGTTACGTAATCCAAGATGGCGGAGGCCACGCCCCCTATAGCCTCGGGTGTAGCAAGGTTACATGCGCTTACTACTCAGGAAAGCATCACCCATTGCCCCGGCACATGGGTGCACATAAGCATCAAGTATGTGATCTCTATAAACAGGAGCATTCACGGTTTCCGTTGGAAAGACATGGAGGTCTGTGCGTCCACCCAAAGAGATGCCACCCCAAACACAGACACTGCCTCTTCCGTATGCATCTCTTTAACGAATGTTTGATGGATGATAACGGGTTCCAGGTTCTCTCCATATCAAATACTAAAGCTTTCTAGACTAAACCTGGACTCATCTGTAAAGAGAACAGCCCTCCCCTACACCTACTAAAGCTTTCTAGACTAAACCTGGACTCATCTGTAAAGAGAACAGCCCTCCACTGATCAAACGTCCAGTGGACATGTTGTCGTGCGTACTGCAAACGGTCCCTCCTATGGCGTGACGTGAGCGACACGCAAATGGCTGGTCGTCTCGCATACAGACCACCTTTGTGAAGCCTTCTACGCACAGTTAACATTGACACCAACCTTCCGGTGGCTGCAGCAAGGGAGGATGTAAGAAGAGTCGGAGTAGCGGTTCTGTTCCTGCGTGCACATAATGTCAAATATCGGTCGTCAGCGCTCGTCGTAGCAGTTGGCCGTCCTTGGCTGAACCTCCTAGAGGCCGAATCTGTGGTTTGAAATCACCTCCAAAGTCTATGAACCACAGAAGAACTCACATTTAGCCATCTGGCCACTTCTGTTTGACTTTATCCTGCCTCTAGTCTCCCAATGGCTCTCCATCATAGTTCTGCAGGCAAATGATGCCTGGAGGTCATTGTTGCAAATTGGCTATCTCAGATTTCTGATTTCACTATCACAGTGAAATATGTGGGCTTGCTCTCAAACATGGACTTTTATTCTTTTCGCAGATGACTTATTCCAAGTGCAGCGCCACTAATTTGCATGCTGCAGTTTTACTCAGCTACTCTTACTTGGCAACTCAAATTTTACATGGTTTGGCTTATTTTTGAGGAAGTTATCGTTATTTTTGTGATTTTTCCTTAATTTATGATAACCAGTGTATATGCCAGGCACTAATGTATTAGAATAACTGAGTCTTCTTCATTTTGTTGGTCACTAGGTATTTTACGTTACATAATAATTCATACCTTATGTATCAAATTTAAATTACACATAGTTGTTACGTTTTTCTTTCTTCTGACACCAGTTGTTACGTTATTTTCTTCGTTCACGTTCGTACGGGGTTCGTGTAGATTTGGAGTGAATAACTACGACACTTTATGAAGTATCGAAACACATTCTATTTAGCCAATACTGATCAGGACAGCTCCAAAGTCACGTTTTACAGTCGTCGAAGATCTACTATAAACACGCTGACACGATCAGCGACACACCCTCCAGGTTATCAGGCTATCACGGTGGAGACGACTTCACCGCAAAGCACTTGAGTACAGCTTTCCGGAGCACAGCTCCCGACTCTGCTTAATCGTTCTCGGAACTCCATGTACTCTCGAGACTCTCCACGCTACAACTCGCGATGCACTCCACGACACACGAGCACAGCTCCTGCCTCTTCGGTTCAATCTTTTCCGGAGCTCAACACGCTCTCTCGACGATGCACTAACCGCGATACACTAACAGACTCCTTCGGTGTATCAACGACCCACTCGGCACTCGCTGCCCGGCTGTCAACTGGATCGACTCCGCAGGCATTGACTCGCTAGACGAGACACACTCACTCTCGATGAGAGACAAACTCACTCGATGAGAGACGCACACTAACTGACTGCAGACCAGCAGGGTTTATATAACTTTCGGCTTGTGTTCGAGTACATTCTGGGCTAAACCAGTAAGAATTTGTTCCAGAAGGTTCTCCAACCGTCCATGGTATATCGACAATTTCGTCGCAAAATGTCGCCAAATGGCGATTTATCGCCAAATATGGCAACCCTGTCCTCCTTTCCCATTTTATGGCAACCCTAAAACTGCTTTGCCGGGAAGCCATCTTACCGCGCCTGTACATTTCGTAACAATACCTTATGTATCAAATTTACACTCATGTCCATAAATTAAGGATAATTTCCAGTGATATATAAGGAATACAGGCAGAGAAGTAAAATTGTTCGCAAGCGCTTTATAAGCATTTCAGTGCAATAACCGAATAGTTATGACACAAAGGACGCATTTGGATGATTTTTTACGTGGTAGAATTATCGGCCGTCTGGAATGTGGGCGTACCCAACTGGAAGTATCAGACGAACTTGGAATTGCCCAGAGTGTCATCTCCAGGCTTTGGCAACGATTCCAAGATGATGGTAATGTGAGTAGGCGTTACAGCACAGGTCGCCCCAGAGTTACAACGCCGAATGAGGAACGGTATTTGGCAGTTACTGACAAAAGAAACAGGCGGAGCACAGCCTCAGACCTGTCTCGTCAGTTCTCTTCAGCCACTGATACGACAATTTCAAGGCAGACCGTGTACAGACGCTTAGGGCAGATTGGTCTATATGCTCGTAGACCTGTCAGATGCGTTCCACGTACTGCAACTCACTGTGGCCTGCGGTTAGCCTGGAGTAGAGAGCATGCATCGTGGACACTGCAACAGTGGGCTTGTGTGATGTTTTCCGACGAGTCCAGGTTTAGCTTGCAGTCTGATTCTCACCAGACGTTCATATGGTGAGCTCGAGGTACCGGGTACCACCAAGAAAACATCATTGAACGACACCATTACGGTGGCGCAGGAGTGGTCGTTTGGGGTGGAATTATTCTGGGTTCCAGAACTGACCTGCATGTTCAAATTGGAACCATGACAAGCCAAATCTATCGGGACGTCATTCTGGAACAACATGTACGTTTGTTTCGGGGCGCCATGGGCGCACAATTTGTGCTTATGGATGACAACTCCCGTCCTCACCGTGCAAACATCGTAAGCGAATGCCTTCAATCGGAGGATATCACCCATATGGACTGGCCAGCATTCTCACCGGACTTGAATCCAGTAGAGCACGTGTGGGACATGGTTGGCCGACGAGTTGCAGCCCGTCAACCTCCTCCTACATGTCTACCGGAACTTCGGAGAGCATTGCTTTTTGAGTGGTGGAATATCCCCCAAGATGAGATGGATAATTTGATACTCAGCATGCCTAGGCGTTGTACGGACTGTATTGCATCGTCTGGGAGACATACAATGTATTAACAATCATACCAACCATGTAATATTGGTTTTTCGTAAATAGGTTTTTTGTTGTTGTTGTTGTTTTGTTTTTTGTAATTTGCTCCAGAGAGAAAAAATCGCTAATTTTTTTAATAATATCAAACATATAGCATCGTTTTTTTGCTCTTTACCTTTTGTTTAATAAATAAGCTTTACAAATAAGTCATATTTGTTTTGCTTCTAACTCTTTGCCTGATTTTGCATTATCCTTAATTTATGGACATGAGTGTAAATTACACATAAGGAGAAATTTGTTTTAAAGATATTTACCCTAATGTTTTTCTATAAAAAATTTTTAAGAGCTTAATCAACATACTATCTGCTTAAAGAGAACAATAACTATATTCCATTTGTGTTCTTAACCTGCACATAAAATAGACTATTCGGATGTAGTGGTTTCTCAAACAGATATTTACTTATACACATGGTTGTTCAGGGCAAAACACACAAAAGATATCTATCTGAAGGAGATGCCTTCGTGGAGGACTTCCTAAGCGAGCTAGCTTGTATACTTTATACAAGGTGGAAATGCAAAAATACTAGTGCAGCTAATCTATTTCCTTTAGGATTTGAATCTAAGTCAAATTATTAGTAATTAACGATCTTGTTCACTGGATATCAATGGGTAGCTTAGAGAGAATTATTTTATAATATTATTTGTTGTACACTATCTTTAAATTTATTTTTTACTGTTATTCATAATTTTAGATATTCTACTTTCCTTTCTTTTCTAGAGGTCACTTGTGCTCCACTTGTGGTCTTGGCTCCTCAATGATTTCTGTGTCCACCAAAGAATTGAAGCGGACTCCTCTTCTGAAACATGTGGATTTTTCCCACAACAGCATCGAATTTGTGGATGGATATGCCTTTCCCGCTAATATGACAGAATTGGCAAAGATCATTCTCTTAAACAATCACATCAGTCGCGTTTACAAAAACGCATTTTCAAACTTGCTTAAGCTCAACCATTTGGATTTGTCCAGAAACAAGCTCACTTCCATAAGCAGAAAAATACTTCATTCAAGAGATATTTCACTGAATACTATCGATTTGAGGTCAGTTCTTTGCTGTAATCTAGTCAAGAGAAAAAAATGTTTTTTTAGCCTCCCCCTCCAAAAAAAACTTAGTGTTTATTTTTATTTATTTATTTACATTTTCTCTTGGAAAAAAGAAAAATAGATGGAACAAATCTTAAGAATATGGTACCATTGCGGTGGAAAAAATTGAACAATACTTACCTGAAAGTAAATGATGTCAAAAATAATGATAAATACATTATACAAAAGAACATAAATCTATTTAAGATTCAAAATAAATTAATCGATTATTAAATTAAAAATACACGAATAACATTTGTGGTATATTAGCCTTCTTTGTATTAAATGTCTTTTCAAATTTTCTTCTTGGTAATGTTTTCGAGTGCATGAATTTAATATTAATTTCTTATAGCTTCATCTTAGAGTATAGATTTCGTTTTATTATAATATCTTTTCTCTTGAATGTTTAGTTCAGAATTTGTTGTATTAAATACAGTTTTTTTTTTAACTGAATGCAGATTTCGCTTTCTGTTGATCTGAGATCAGTTTAAAATACGAAAACTACTGCGGAGGTGTTGCTTGGTATTGTCGCCGCAAGTTATTTTATAACATTTTTATTTCGTTGACGCCATCTATAACTGGTGATGGATTTCTTGGTCTACTCAGCTAGCTACATTAATGGCGATTTTCGCCAATAGAGAACTCCTGTGAAGGTTGCAGTTCTTTTTATCTGATGCTGTTGGCCGAGGATAGGACTCGTGAACGTCGGTGCCGCAGCTTGATCATTAAACCAATTGAGTCAAAAGTAGTTGCATCTTCACAGGCACTCTCTGTTGGCTTGTTACAGCTGAAAACATCGCAGAGAAAACGTCGCGGAGAAAACAGGGCTAGGAGAAAATATCGTGGTGCAAAACATCGTGGGAAAAAACATCGGAAAGAGAAAATATCGCAATTCTAAATAATCGGGGTACAAAATATCGTGGTTGAAAATAAAGCGGTTTAAAAACATCGTCGCCGAAAATATTGTGGTAAAAACTAAAATCATCGCATACATGCGTTTTTCAAATTGCTTAATGACATATTATGTAACTGACTTTCGGCATAACTAACATCAACATCCAAAAAATTGATTGCACGCTATACATGAAAATGTTAACGACACTTTAAGAATAAACGGAAAACAAAACAACATATAATTTTCATTAAAGCAATATCATATTAACAAACGAAAGAAAATAATTTGATCATTAACTAAGCAATTTTTATGGAAGTAACCTCATGCAGTTGTTTATCTTCTTTTTTCTAAGAAATTTTAGACTGTATTTTTCATGAAAAATTATTATTTAAACTTTATAAAACGCTTAATTTATTAATGACCTTCGTTAATTAACTATATAAATTTAAAATTCGATTAAGCTTTTTAAGTTGCAATATTTCTACTCATTTTCAATTTTCAAATGCTTAAGTTTCCTTCTTATTTTTTCAGCAAAAATTTATTAGTTTGTTCAAATATAAGAATTACAGAAGTAAAAGAATCCTTCTTTCCTTCTTGCGCTCTATGATCTTTATGAACATGCATTTACAACTTTCAAAACCTGAAAACGCATGTGTGCGATGTTATCGTCATGCGATGATTTGCAAGTACTTTATTTTTTATCACGGTATTTTCGACGACGATGTTTTTAAACTGCGAAGTTTCTGAATTGCTTTATTTTCGACCACGATATTTTGTACCGCGATGTTTTAGAACTGCGATGTTTTCTACCACGACCATTTTTTCCTCAACATTTTCGTCTGCGATGTTTTCGGCGGACACTGTTGGCGAACATCACCATTAATATATCTAACTGAGTAGACCAAGGAGTAATTGGGTCAAAACACTAATTACAGATGGCGCCACGAAATCGGCAAGGAATAAAACAATTTCCGGAGACAACAACAAGCCACACTGCCACATTGGTGACCCGGACATGATTGGCTGTTCTGCTGCCGCCCATCCCACAGCGACAAATAACTGTCTCACAGCAGCACCGACTAACCGGTCCACAGCAGAACCTAAAGGCGACACATATGGCAACAAACCGGAGTCTCTTAATCCTGCGAACAGAATCAAAATGGGCTCGCGCAATCATTCGGCCTGTCTATCAAAATATCGCATCTATCATATGGTATCGCATATGGTGCTGGGAGAAGGGTATTGGTCTTTGCTCTTGCTTTCAAGAATGATGCGGCTGAAATCGGTAGCTTCGGAGACAACTTTTTCTGATTTGATTTGTTTAATGATTAAGCTGTGGCATCGAGTTTCACGAGTTCTATCCTTAGCCAGCGGCATCAGCCGAAAAGAACAGCGACCTTTACAGGTGCCCTCTGTTGAGGAACATCTCTCTTAATATATCTTGCTGAATATACTGAGGAGCAACTGCATCACAACATGGCGCCATGATATCAACAAGATCTAAAATTACTTTCGGTCACAATTAGTCCTTCTGATTTTTTTTCATCCTTAACCCGCGAGCACACGCAAAGGGTATATCATACCCATGTGCATTTTTCTTTTTGTATATTTCTCACCCATTCTTTCATAAAAGGACGAAACTTGGTGTAGCTGAGTTCAAGGTCACATACTTAAATGGGGTAAATTCCTGAGGTGACAGGTGCTACGGTTTTTTAGGAACAGCATTGTTCGGGCATGTCATACCCGCGCGTGTACTCGCGTTTCTCAGTGAGTCACTTTGCACTTCTCGTTTTCAAGCTTTTAGTATAGGTTTTTCTTGAGTTGTAAGCATGGCGCCGTATATTCCTTACGATGAAGAGATGAAAAGATTGAGAAATCTTCTTGAAACAGTTTCTTCTGATGAGTATTCATTTAGTGAAGATGATGAAGATGTTGATGACGAAGAATATAATAGTAATCATGATTCATCCATAGAGGGTAGTGATTCAGATACAGAAACAGAAAATGAAACTTTGGAATGTAGCAGTGAGTTTTATGTTGGAAAAAAGGGAGTAAAATGGAACAAAAATAAATTCCGGACTAATGTTAGAATTGGCGCCAAACGAAGTATTCTAAAGACGTGTCAACATCTTTAGATTCCTGGTCACTGCTTATCGATGAAGATATGTTAAAACATGTAGTCGACAATACAAATATTTATATTGATTCAGTACGTGGAAATTTCACTCCTGAATGAACGGATGCGAAAGCAACAAATGAGTTGGAAATCAAAGCTTTTAATTGGATTGCTGTATTTATGTGGAGTTTATAAATCATCCCATGTGAACGTAAGAGAAATTCTTATTTGTGAGGCAACAGACGGAACGGGAAATGGACATATTTCGGGAAACAATGTCAGTGAACCGATTCCTCTTTCTTTTACGATGCCTCCGTTTTGATGACAGAGATCGTCCCAGTAGATCGTCTCAGAGAAAAGACTTGATAAATTAGCTCCGATCAAGAGAATTTTTTGGAAATTTTGTCACAAATTGCCAAAAAGGCTTATACTGTAGGAGAGTATGTGACCATTGATGAGAAGTTGGAATCATTCAGAGGTCGTTGTTCCTTCAAACAATATATGCCCAACAAGCCAGCAAAGTATGGCATAAAAATATTTGCTCTTGTAGACGCAAGGGTATTTTATACCTGGAGTATAGGAAATTTATGCTGGTAAACAACCAGATGGGCCATTTCAAGTTGAAAATGGTGCAAGCGAAGTTGTCAAACGTTTAATAAAGGCCCTTATACAATTCTGGTCGAAATTTAACAGTTGATAATTGGTATATGGGATATGAATTATCTCAAGATCTCCTAAAGAAGAAAAATTACGAATAGTAGGTACAATGCGTAACAATAAGAGAGAAATCCCACCTGAGATTCTGGCAAAAAAAAAAGAGAAGTATATTCTTCAATTTTCGGTTTTCAGAAAGAAGCTACACTTCTGTCTTATGTGCCGAAAAAAAAATAAGAGTGTGATCCTGTTATCCACAATGCATTCCGGCGATCAAATCGATGAATTTACTGGGGAATCTAAAAAGCCTGAAATCATTACATTCTATAACATGACAAAAGGAGCAGTCGATGTTGTAGATGGGATGGCAACTGCGTATTCTACAGCAAGAGTAGCACGTCGATGGCCTATGATGATTTTTTTTCAGTGTTAAACGTGGCTGCCATTAATGCAAGAATAATTCTACTATCAAAGAAGGAACCACCAACGGAATACCGTACCAGGCGTACTTTTCTCAAAGCCTTATGGATGCAGCTAATAGAAAATGTTCAAAATGAACGACGACGAGCATCTGTAGTTCCTGATTCTAGACAAACACTGACCACCGATGAAGATGTTAACAATGAACCACCGAAACCTAAAATTACAAAAAACCTAAAATTACTTACAAGAGGTGCACAGAGTGCCCCAAGAAAAAAGATAGAAAGATTAGATTCATTTGTGAAAATTGTAGCAAAAAGTATATGCATGGAACATATGACCTCATTTTGTAAACAATGTTCAAAAAATTGTAAGTAAATAATTTTACCTCTCCTTATTCTTTCATATTTTGTTTAAAATGAAGTATTAACTTGGTTTTACATTTTAATTTCTTTTAAAAACCGATTCATTTTATTCGGCAAATTTTTAATTACAATTTTTTTATTCGGGTATGACATACCCGGCGCGTGTTCTCGTGTTCGTCGGATCGGTGCGTGTGCTCGCGGGTTAACTTAAAATTTTATACCCTTCTCAGTCCTTTTGGCTTTCCCTTCTGGCCCTGAAAGAATCTCCTTTTCCTTCTCTCTTATTCTCCCTGCATTTGATCATTCTACAAACACTGGCAAATAAATTAGAAAACCAAGATTAATATTTTATTGGACCACCTTTTACACGGAAAACAGTTTTGATTCGTTTGGTCATCGAGTCTACATGATACTGGAGTACGTTTACGTCCAGAAAATACCATTCATTGGCTACGCAGCTTTTTAGATTTTGTAAATTGGATGGAATAGGAGAGTACTGCCGAATGCG